TCCTTCAGCTAGAGGCACCCTCTCCCGGAGCCTTGCATCCTGTAAAACCGCTTCAGCTGCTCGCTTCTCTTGGCCGCGAGCAGCACTTTCCGAGAGGCCGCAGCTCATGAGCTCGCGCGACGGCTGCGCGAGACGCAGCTGGAGGTGGAGGTGCGTATTTCAACCCCTAAACCCTAAACCCTAAACCCTAAACCCTAAACCCTAAACCCCAAACCCTAAACCCTAAACCCTAAACCCTAATTCGGGTGCAGGCTTTCGTGGTTTAGGGTGGGCGGTTGAGGGTTTCGTGTCTGAGTGTGCACCCCTCCCCTCCAATTCGGGGCTTGCGAGCAGGAGTTTGGTATGAATCTACCTGCATTTCAGCAAATGCTCAACTCGTAAACCCTTCAAGTCCTGAGGCTGCTCAGTCGGCTCCTGACTCGCCCAGTTGCCCTTCGATTCAATGTCCCAAGTTTTGGGGTTTTAGGGTTTAGGGTTTCAAGAGGTGCCGTGTAGTTTTAATTCAGGGGCCACATGCTGGCCGCATACCCGCGCTGCCCTGGACCCTGAACCCTGAACCCTGAACCCTAAACCCTAAACCCTAAACCCTAAACCCTAAACCCTAAACCCTAAACCCTAAACCCTAAACCCTAAACCTTTGGAGGTCCAATCCGAGTCCCTTCGTCGGGTGCAGGAGGAGCGGGCTCGGCCATTGTAAATTGGAGCTGGAGGGCTTGAGGAGGGGGGGGAGGCTTCTTTAATGGGGTCTAGGGTTCAGGGTTTAGGGTTTAGGGTCTAGGGTTTAGGGTTTAGGGTTTAGGGTCTAGGGTTTAGGGTCTAGGGTTGATATAGGGTTTAGGGTTTAGGGGTTGAGAGGTTTAGGGGTTTAGGGGCTTGGGGGTTTCTAAGTGAGATTGCTATGTGGTTAGTAAGTGCCATGAACCTCCAAGTAGCACTCAGTGTCAGAGACTCTGCCGGATGACTCTGCCAAGCTGCTCAGCGCTCCATGTGCCGTGGCAGTGCGGCATTGCAGAAGACTGCGATCCCCTCCAATCAAGATCCTCTACGTACTCAGAGTTTAGGGTTTAGGGTTTGGGGTTTAGGGTTTGGTTTAGGGTTTAGGGTTTGGGGTTTAGGGTTTAGGGTTTAGGGTTTAGGGTTTAGGGTTTGGGTTTAGGGTTTAGGGTTTAGGGTTTAGGGTTTAAGACCTTTATACTGGCGGGTTGGGTGTCTTGGGGTTTGAGGGATGTTTATGGGGTTGGGGGGTCTGGGCTTTATTCCTCGGGTGGAATGAGGAGTTCGGCGTAGGTGTTGAGGTACTGGGGGGTTTTGCCAGGGTTTAGGGTTTAGGGTTTAGGGTTTAGGGTTTAGGGTTTAGGGTTTAGGGTTTAGGGTTTAGGGTTTAAGACCGGAAGCCCTGAAATTCTAGTCCCTGCAGATGCAGCTTCTGAAACCGAGGAGCATTGCTCAATATCGGGGGCTCCCCTTTTTGACCCTTAAATACTTTTGGAACCTTCATTCTTTGAAATCCCTCCCCCCTCCACAGAAGGGTCCCTAAACCCTAAACCCTAAACCCTAAACCCTAAAACCCTAAACCCTAAACCCTAAACCCTAAACCCTAAACCCTAAACCCTAAACCCTAAACCCTAAACCCTAAACCCTAAACCCTAAACCCTAAACCCTAAACCCTAAACCCTAAACCCTAAACCTAACCCTAAACCCTAAACCCTAAACCCTAAACCCTAAACCCTAAACCCTAAACCCTAAACCCTAAACCCTAAACCCTAAACCCTAAACCCTAAACCCTAAACCCTAAACCCTAAACCCTAAACCCTAAACCCTAAACCCCAACCCCTAAACCCTAAACCCTAAACCCCTATTCTTGGAAGCCCCTTCATGGATTTGACGCGGAACCCTGGCCTTGGGGCCTTGGGGTTGTTCAAAAGCCGTTGATGGGGATGGACCATGAGAAAAGAGTTCCTAACCCTAAACCCTAAACCCTAAACCCTAAACCCTAAACCCTAAACCCTAAACCCTAAACCCTAAACCCTAAACCCTAAACCCTAAACCCTAAGCCCTAAACCCTAAACCCTAAACCCTAAACCCTAAACCCTAAACCCTAAACCCTACAGGGAGCCTTATGGCTTTTTCTGGGACAGTATCTTGACAAAAGCTGCCAAAATTGAGGTTCGAAAGTTGCTTGCCTCTGAGAATAGGAGTCCTCAAGAGTTGGAGAGACTAAACCCCAAAACCCTATACCCTAAACTCGAAGCCCTAAACCATTCTGACCCCTAAACCCTCAAAACGCCAAACCGGTGGGCGCAGGAGTTCAAGAGGAGCCTCGCAAAAGCTGTGGGCTTAGCCTGCAGTGGTTGCAGGATTGGGCTGCAGAAACTCTGAACCCTAACTTGAAGGGATTTGGTTTTAGAGCTTAGGCTGGCAGAGGGGTTTAGGGTGGTAGTTCTAGAAACTCAGCAAAAGAAAGAGCCTCTATTGATGCGTTCCATCGGCCCAAGTTGTGGGATTCCCCCGCAGTCCGTAGTCTGGGAACTTCTTGTGTTGTTAAGGAACCTAACACTCAGCTATCATAATATGGTTATAAGAGTACGTCACCTGGTATCCTCATTATGTGGCAACCTCAGGTTAAGTTCCTTAAAACAAGAACCCAGAAGATCCTTTCATGCCCTAAACCCTAAACCCTAAACCCTAAACCCTAAACCCTAAACCCTAAACCCTAAACCCTAAACCCTAAACCCTAAACCCTAAACCCTAAACCCTAAACCCTAAACCCTAAACCCTAAACCCTAAACCCTCAACCCTAAACCCTAAACCCTAAACCCTAAACCCTTAACCCTTAACCCTTAACCCTAAACCCTAAACCCCAAGATGCCGGCGGCTCTCTGCCTGCCTGCGGCTCTTCTCCTGGCGCTCACTGCGAGCGCTGCGCGGATCTCCGCGGGGACGCGGGGAGGCGACCACCCAAGCCTATCGCTGCCCTCCTCGGCCCGAGTGGATGCCCAAGTAACCAGGTAGGCCTTTTGGGATGTTCCATGCTTTTCCCTCTTTGGGGTTTAAAGGAGGATATCATACTCAGGAATATGTTTTTCAGAGGGTTTTAAGGGCCAGCCTAGGTGACTTCAGATGGCACCCTGAAGTGGACCAGCAAGGGGAACGTGTCCTACACGTTCACAGACTTGCTCTTTCTCACGGCCGTGTCCGACCACGTCCTTACCTTTCCGGAGGGCCAGCGGGGCACGGTGGCTAGGATGCCCAGTAGTACCCTTATTCCCTTTTTGGGGGGTTTAGGTTCCCGTATAAACCCCTTTAAGCAAAAAGGGCACCCTTTTTAAGCCTTGGCTACTGGGCAGCCTAGGTGGAGCGCAGGCGGACCACCTTCGTGGGCTGGAACAACCTCGTGACGCGCACGGTCACGCGCTACCTCTTCGTGGCGGAGTACGGCCACCGGGTCATTGTTTGAAAGGTTTAGGGTTTAGGGTTTAGGGTTGAGGGTTTCGGGTTTAGGGCTTAGGGTTTGAAAGTCACTTGACATGTTTATGAATACTTAAACTCAACAAGGCTTTCAATTAAGGAACAGCAATCAGAATTTTTTCGTAGTGCCCCAAACAATGGTGAAGGCCAGGGGAAGGAGCTCCGGGCCGAGTGCTTCACGTACCAGAGACAGGGCCCCAGCGGCTACATCGACCCCTTTAGCCAAGTGGAGACTTGGTAGCCCAGGGGTCCCCTAAACCCTTTTTTTTGGGGGGGGGTTTAGGGTTTAGGGTTTAGGGTTTAGGGTTAAGGGTTAAGGGTTTAGGTTTAGGGTTTAGGGTTTAGGGTAGCCCAGTGGTACCCTTTACCCTCTTTTTTTGGGGCTTCTGGCTTCCCTTATAGAATAACCAACCCCAAACAGGGTGCCCTTAGTATAAGATGGATACTGGGCTACCAAGGAGAGCAACTTTGACTTGGTCCATGAAGGTCCCGGGGAGGCGTTTTGGAAGACACCCCAGCTCAGCACACCGCATGGCTCGATGATGTCCGGAAGGAAGTTCACTGAGGTAGGCGGCAAGAACACCATGAACGCAACCATCGTGTCCACCGAGAAGCATCACAAGACCACCTATACCGCAGTCTACAGCGACCATGTGCCTTCAGCTGTCGCAGACCACGACGACCTGATTTACAAGTACCGTGAGACCACTTGCACGGAAGTGAGTGGCTTCCAGAACCTCGGCTGTTCAGTAGAATGCTTCTTGACCCTAAAGCCTAAACCCTAAACCCTAAACCCTAAACCCTAAACCCTAAACCCTTAACCCTAAACCCTAAACCTTTCGCTTTCTGGGTTCCTGTCATTCCTACATGTTCCTGCGAAAGTGTGGGTAGTTCTCGGAGTTCGGGTCCCTTGGTCCTCTATTATTGTACGGCACCCTTAAAAGAAGGACTCCCAAAAGGGGACCCTAGTTTAGAGAACTGCCCATGTGCACCCCAAAAAAACGCACAAAAGCTGTGTTCTTCCCCCATGGTTGCCGAAGATTAAGGCCTAACGTGCAACCTTCTGGGCCCTGAGCCCCGAAACCGTTTAAGGGTTTAGGTGTTTAATCGTTTAAGGTTTAGGCTTCAGGGTTTGAGGGTAGGGGTTTAAGGATTTAAGGGTTTAGGGTTGAAGGCTTAAAGGTTTTAGGGTTTAAGGGTCTAGGGTTTAAGGGTTTAAGGGTTTAAGGGTTTAGGGTTTAAGGCTTAAAGGTTTAAGGGTTTAAGGGTTTAGGGGTTTTGGGCTTTGGGCTTAGGGTCGTCAACTCGAGGAACATCCCCGCCGTCTGCGTTGATGACTTGTTGGCGATCGAGTATGGCTGCGACTACGTCGAGCATTGAGCCGCCATGTGGCTTCCGAGATGCAGGGGGTTTACGAGAAAAAAGGGGGGTATTAGAAGGGTCGGAATAATGGCTGATAGTATTCCCTCCTGGTTCCATTAGAATTAGAATACTATGGTAACCCCCGAATCCTATTCTAATAATTAAGGCCCTATGTTACCCTTTATGTTTTTTCGGAGGGGGCTCCTATAAGAAGGAGTATAGTATTTGGGGGTGTATGAGAAGTACCCCTATTTTGGGACATGCCCTCACAATGTGAGCTCGTTAGGGTTTATTAGGTTTATAGGATTCAAGATTTCCAGGGTTTAGGGTTTGGGGTTCAGGGTTTAAGGGGGTTAACATTGGGTATCGAGGGCTCGGGGTTTAGGTTTTTTCGGGTTTAGGGTCCTTAAGGGTTCAGGGTCCTTAAGGGTTTTGGCTTTTGCGGCTTTCATCGCTGGCGCGGCAGTGATGTTCGTCAAAAGCCGGTCGGCTCTCACTCCCGTGCCTTCTCCTGGCACGTAGACCCTGAACCTAGAACCCTGAACCCCTAAACCCCAAACCCGAGCCCCCAAAGCCCAAATCTCCAAGCCCATTCAACCCCAACCTGAGTCCCGAAGCTCTCAACCCCCAAGGCCCTAAACCCCCAAGGCCCTAACCCTAAACCCTAAACCCTAAACCCTAAACCCTAAACCCTAAGCCCTAAACCCTAAACCCTAAATCCTAAACCCTGAACCCTAAACCCTAAACCCTAAACCCTAAACCCTAAACCCCTAAACCCCTAAACCCCTAAACCCCTAAACCCCTAAACCCCTAAACCCCTAAACCCCTAAACCCCTAAACCCTTACACCCTAAACTCCACAACCTCGTCGCCCCCGAGGCTCAGCAGCAACCCCTGCCGCCTGGCGAGTCGGCCATGGCCTTGGTTTAGGGTTTAGGGTTAAGGGTTTGGGGTATAGGGTTAGGGTTTAGGGCTTGGGGCTTAGGGTTTATGATGTTGTGCTTGTTGGTTCAGGGATGAGGCCCCTAACTTCTAGCAAATGTTGGTGTAGGGTGGCGTGAGGGAAATTGCACTGTGCTGTCGCTACGTATGACAAGTTTGCGCGCATTTGTGTACGAACAGATGTCTTACAGCAATGCTTTTTGCGAACGCTCTTTCATCGTTCCTCATGTTACGCACCTTGCACGCAGTGTCGTAGAACGCTGCAATGTGTTGTAATGTTTGGCACAGATTTCGCACCTGTTCACACTTGTGCGTCCCCAAAGCTCAAAGCCCAAAGCCCAAAGCCCAAACCCTGGGTATTTGGCTATGTCGCTTGCGGTGCATGTCGCACATCTTGAGCAAGTTTTTGGGAGCAAAAACCCCTACAAGCCTAAAACTTCCTGGTACTTAGTGGGCCCTATATACCCTTTAAGGGATGACCTAGGGCCTTCCCCGCTAAGAACCAGTGGGTCTTTTGGAATGTTAGAAGATGGGGTTATAGGGTACCGGAGTTCTGTACTAGTAGGTTCAGGGTGGATCGTGCAGGGTTTCGGGTTTAGGGTTTAGGGTTTAGGGGTTTAGAGGTTTAGGGGTCTAGGGTTTAGGGTTTAGGGTTTCGGGCTTAGGGCTTAGGGAGGTAAACCTTAAGCTAGCTTCTTTGTGGTGCTTTACTGTAACTTTACATCTTTAGCCTTTTTGGGTTTATTGGGCTTCTTAAGAAGGCAGCTAAAAATTAAATTTATAGCTACCCTGCTAAGAGCAGCCAAGGCTTGGTCCCTTGGTCCCGCATGCACTCCCATTATTATTGAGGGATGCGATGAGCGCACGTGCGACGAGGCGTTTTCCATCTTCGCCCCCTCCGTGCCACCAAGGGATCTTGAGGGTTTAGGGTTTAGGGTTTAGGGTTTAGGGTTTAGGGTTTAGGGTTTAGGGTTTAGGCTTTAGGGCTTGCACCGTAAGCCCTAAACCACCCCTCTTAGGGTAGTTACATGGTCACTTAGTATGGGCCCTTAAAAGGAGGACCCGTCATATGCCCCTTATATACCCTGTATCAAATTAAGGGCCCACACATTAAGGGCCCATGGAGCTACCCTAAGAACCCTAGAGTCCCCAACTCCGAAAACCTGAGCCCCCCTCAACCCGACCTTAACTGCCCAGGGTCTCTGCCTGGAGGGTCATGGTTACTTATAACCCCAAAGTAGAAGTCTACTTAGAACCTACTTAGGGGACTAGTTAGGGGACTTAGGGGGCTTATAATACCCTTGGTCCTCGTGAGGACCAGGGGCGGAGGGCGCAGGAGCGGCCATCGAAAAGAGGGATCTAAGGGAAACCAGGACTACACCCAGAAAGCCCCAGCTTCAACCAAACCCTCAAGACGGAAAAAACCCTGGACGGGGACCACCGGGCTAGGGGGGGTCCGGAAGAGGCTAGACCAGCCTAAGCTAGAGGAACCACCCGGGAAACACCCCCCAAAACCCTCACACCCCAATCCAGGCAAGCACTTTTTCATGCTTGAGCCAAAATCCAGTCGCAATGCTTACATATGCGGAGCTCTGCTCTCGCCTGTGCCGAAGCAATGCTTACATATGCTGAACGTCCTGCACACCTGTGCTGTAGCAATGCTTACATATGCAGAACATCCTGCACACAAAGGCATGGTGCCCTTCTCCACTTCAGCCTTCTCAGAGGCTTCCCTTATCCCAACACTCCTCCTTGGGCTGTTCTCAGCACAGATTCAGCCCACCAGCTCATACAGAGATTTTCGACCGTCGCAGTAGGCACACATGCCCTTTGCATCGATGTTCGTGTAGGCGCTCTTCAGGCCTTGACAATCTCCGTAAAGGTGGACGTGATCTCCCCGCTGAGATGCAAAGAAGGGGCCCCGAAACTTCACATAAGCTTCACGAGGGGTCTGAGTGTTGGCATCTCGTGTCCTTCGCCGCGTCTGACGTACAGGAGGTGGCGGTTCTTCCCAAGAAGAGGCCGACCTATCCAGCGAGGGAACCGGACCGCGCCCTTCTGGAGCGGATGCAGGGCTGTGCCTTGGAGCTAGCTCAGGTGTCATAGGGCCATTCTGTCCCAAACCATACGAACCCAGCTCCTGCTGCACAGCCTGTTGCAGTCGCCGTAGCCGCCGAGCATTCCTTGCCTCCGAGACTCTTCAGAGCGTAGCACTCGAACAGCCACTTGATCGCCTCCCATGCACCAATCGCAGCCACCAAGCTGACAAAAACCAGCGCATAAAACTCCCAAGCAACACTGATTTGTATCCCTCCAACATCCTCAGCAGGAACATTCGAACTTCGCTTTGTCGAGGCTCCACGAGTACCCTGAACCAACCAACCCAAAAGCAACACCAATCTAGCTATCACCCCAGCCACCCCCGGTGTTGTAGTGTGTGCCGTTGCTGCAGTGCTGCCTGTTGCTGGTCCCGGCTGCTGCTCTCTTGGCGAAGTTGTTCCCAATCCCCACATACGGCAAAGCTCCAGGAGTCTTGGCTTCGAGAAGGCCTTTGTACCTAAGTCTCCTAATTGAGAAACACCAGGGATATGTCGAAGGGTAATCTCCTTGAGACGCACCGCCTCACGAAGATGAAAGGCACGAACTCGTAGGTGACGAGTTTTCCAAGTTCCAGCTGCCTCGGAACACAGTCCTACAGCAGCCTGATTGTCGACGTAAAGTCCCAGGCGAGGAGGGTCCGGCCTGATTTCGGAGGTAAAAGATGAGAGTCCATAGACCATCTGGATGGCATTGACAGCCTCTATGAGCTCTGCCTCGGCAACAGACAGAGAAACCAGTGGTTGTCTCCCACATCGCCAAGATATGGGGCACCCCAGATAGCAAGCCAGCGAGCAACCGATGCTCCGCCCCCCTTGGGGGGCGAAGCTGGCATCACTGTAACCCTCCACATCATGGTTGTGGGTTGTCGGCTCGTAGAACAAGAACCAATCGGCCGTCGCCTTCAAGTAGCCCAAGGTTCTCATGCCGATGCGCTCCACAGTCTCAGGGTCCCTCACGCACAGACTGCTCATGGTGGCAACTGTGTGTATCAAGTCTGGCCGGCCCTTTGTTGAAAGCCAGAGAAGTTCGCCAGTGATTTTCTGAGCACGCCTCAAGGTCTGCTCGTCGTACTGCTTCTCATCAAAGTTCACCTCCCCCAGCAGCCATGACTGAGGACATGGCGTCCCGTGACCATGCCCCTGAACATCATAGTGTCGAAGTACCTCAGATATGTAGCCAGTCTGCCCGATCTTGAAGCCGTTGAGCGTCTCGTAGATCTCTAGCCCCAGGAAACGAACTGGCTGTTCCATGGATGCCCATGTCAAATCCGAGGCCTTCCATTCTTGTGTGATCCACCCATGAGTAGCCGCAACGACCTCCTCCTCACCCAGATACAAGATGTCGTCAACATAAACGTTGACGAATGCCCGAACTTCTTCCTGCATCGTTCCATCTGGGCCAGGCGTCATGACCACCACACTCCAAACATTCTCATCCGCCCTGTGCTGTCTGAGGAAGGCATCCAGCTCTCCCACCTTGAATCGAGCTCGCCTCAGTCTGTTGTCCCGGAAGGTACTCCACAGCTTCGGAGAGCGCCTAAAGCCATAAAGAGCTCGGTCCACCCGAAATAAGCACTTCGCAAACGGTATTTCCGCCGCCTGGAACACCTTGGGAGGGTAAAGGCAATGCACCACCTCGCCATCGTCCATCGGGGCCAAGATGAAGGCATTCCTGATGTCTGTTCCTGCTGCCTTCCAAGGACGTGATCCACCTCGTTTGTGTGCGGCATGAACAATCATCGCCCTCAAGGACTCCCCTTGACATCCCCCTGCATAGCTGTCTTCCTTCTGACTCCTTCCCTCGAAGTTGCCACATATGACAAGACGAGCCTTTCTTTTGAAGAATGAAGGCGACCCCTTCACCAACTCTCTTCCAGGATCATCAAGCAGCTCAGGATTGTCTGGAGGTTTTGCCGTGAAGACTCCTTTAGCCGGAAGTATAGATAACACTCCCGCCCTCTCAAGACGACGATGCTCCTCCTCCGTGAGGGGAACCAAGGCTCCCGCATCCAGCAGAGCCTTCATCTCCTTTCCAATGGCCTCCTTCCACCGCGGAAGGAATTGCTTCACCTCGTCAAGCTGTACAGTGTATACGACCTGAAGAGGACCTTCAAGGTTCTCCAAGACAGGCTCGACACCATGTTTCCCGTCATCATCCTCCACAAAGCGACATAGCCGGAACCAATCCCCAACCGAGTAGGTCTTGTAAACCTTCTGCGACTCCCTTTGCTCCAAAGCCCTTTCAGCTTCCAACGTCGCCTGGTTCACACCCTCAAACAGTTCTTGATAGTCCTCCGGCACACATCGTCGTAAGTTGTGTTCCTCATCTAGCACACAGCGAGACCAATAGCGGCCATCCATCTCACCCTCTTGGTCCTCCACCAACCACTGGGACTCATCCATATCGTCACCAGCGTCTTCACCTCCAGCGGACTCCATCCAACCTTCAGTGGTTTCATTATCCGGAACAGCGTCAGTAGTTGTCGACACTGGTTCCACCAATCTGCTCATGCAAAAGACGTTGCCATCCTCGCCACCCTCGTCGGCCCTAAAGACTCGCACCACAGGCGGTGTTTTTCCAACCACGCGTCGTTCAGGATGCCAGTCATCACCTTCATCTTCGTACGGAGGTAGTTCGGGTAGGCGACGGACATTTGTTGTGTACCAAACATTGCCCTGCACGGTGCGAACAACATGACCATGGGAGACTGTCTCAACAGGCCCCAAATAAGACCCCTGGATCCACTTGTCCTCGAAGTCAGTGCCCCCTTGGCCATACCTCTTCCTCTTGATGAACACCTGTGATCCGAAAGGAGCGACGCTAGGATTGCCCCTTCCAAAGGCCTGAGCAGCGTGTTGTTGGCAAATCGTTGATGCCGCCCTTGACCACCACGATCTCACTACGGCATCTCCAAGCTTGCTGTAGGCTTTGGCCTGTCCAAGCAAAGTTCGCACCCGGCCCTTGATGAAACCAACAGCCCGCTCCGCCGCCCCATTTTGTGACGGATCATCGCCTTGAGTCTTCGTGACTATGATGTCCCTCGCCGCTGCCCACATGTCCATACCCTCGTTCATGAACTCCCTTGCTCGGTCGCAATGTACTCGTAAGACTGGCAGGCCCCGTTGTCTTAGAGACAGGTACATCTCCTGCAAGGCCTTGAGTGTTTCCGCCTTCTTCCTGGTCTTCAAGGGTCGACAAAGATAGGCAGACTCGAACTCGAAGGGCTCAGACATACGCTCCAGGGCCTTGATCTCCTCCTGTTTCGGATCATCTTCCTCACGAATAGCAGCAGGATCAGGGCCAAGCTCCTCCGAGACCCCTACAGGCGCACCTTCAGTAGCAGGAACCTCTGATACGACATCCTCGCCCTCCATCCCAGGCAACCAATCACCCTCGTCATCCGGTTTGTCCACGTCCCCAGGCTGCACACCAGACTGCTCAGGGTCCCCTGTTTCTGGGATCTTAGGAAAGCGGAAACACCCGACTAGCAGGTAGCGCGCTCCATCAGTGCCCGTCGCCCTAAACGGACCAGCAGTGTCAATGCTCAGGACATACGCTGAAGGATGAGCGACTCTCCTATGTGGCTTGCCCGTCGCCCTTTGGATGCACTCCCGGCAATCCTTCCTGTATGGCAAATGGTCCCGTCTCAGGTGAATGCGCCATTCCTCCAAGCTGAATTTAGCGAGCTTCCCTTCACCTTCTTCACCATCTCGCCTTCCCAGCCTTCGAACCATACTGGTCAAAGCATGTTCTCGCGTAGCAAAACCGGGCCAAGCACATAGAGCATCACAGACAGAACTTATCATCCCCGTTGGCCATCGACTTGTTCTTGTACCGGCCTTCAGACCATGACCATCCTCACCCTCCAAAGACCAGAGATTGAGGTTCGTACCCAAAGTCGTAGGTCCCAAGTTTTCCAAATCACACTTGACCTCATCCATGGTGTACATCCTCGCGAAGGTTTTCCACATGGTCGTTCCAAACAGGTCGTAGCATGGCACCCGTCCATTGGCCTCCTCCTCATCCTCACTTTCCAGCTCCTCCTGAGCCTCACGAACCTGGTCCCTTCCATGTAGCGCTGGGCCCTCATCCCATTCCAAGGTTGAGCGTATCGGAAAACCCAAGCATCGAAGTTTCCCGACCTTTTCATCCGGCAACTTGTCGAGGCCGAGAGGTGTGTAGGCCGCCACGAGAAGCTCCTTCTGAGTTTGATCCTTCCCCACATACGCATGGTGTTGTTTTGGATTGAACCTCGTCATCCTTCCAGAGATCTCAACCAAACAGCCCTTTAATTGTTCAAAGCCAGAGAATGGACAGGACCTTTCGACACATCTCCCTCCACCACCAAATTTCTGTCCATCCAGGTCCCCTTCAAGCCACAGACCGGAGGAAACCTCGCGGCCAGGATCATCATCGCCCAACCCATTCTGTCCATCCAGGTCCCCTTCAAGCCACAGACCGGAGGAAACCTCGCGGCCAGGATCATCATCGCCCAACCCAATCAAGTAGTTGTTACTATCACGAGCGTTCCGGACATCTCGATGTCGAGGCACTTCATTCGTCTCCATGACCAACAAAGCCGACCAAGAGCAATCCTCATGCAGCTGCGTTTCCACATTCCACCGCATAAACATGTTCAGGTACTTCGTCAACCACGGTCTCTGGAGTGCCTCTGTAGTAACCCCCCGATTGCCGCCATGAGCATATGCGCCAAGCACCACAGATCCTTCTTGTTCGCCTCGGGATGAGGCTCGCAAGTTCTTCTTGAAGTTCATCTCTTCCAACAACATGCGGCACTCACGATGCGAAAACTTGCCCAGGTCGAACCATTCCTTAGCCAGCCTCTCTTGCTCCTCAAGGTCACTCTCTTTGTTGTCGCCTTGCTCTAGTCCAGGAACCTTCCCCGATTCAACTCTCGGATGTTCCAGCAACCAACCAACTCCAGGACCCGGGGTTTCTAAAGATCCCTCTCTCCAAAGGATCCTCCTACCCTCAGAAGCTACTGACCAAAGGATCATCGCCCTGGCAACCAGCTGAACTTCCCGAACATGTTGCGAGGACAGCATCGTCTCATTTCCTGTAAAGGGAAAGGTTCTTCGAGGCGGTCCCCCAAATAGAGCCTTAATTTTGCCCCGAGCAGCTCCCCACAAAAGCAGCTTGAAGATGCCATCCTTCTTTAACATGTCGAAGTGACTGCTAAGGTTCAGGTCCACCTCCACCAGAACATCATCACGATGCAGACTGGCCTTCCATTCGCTTGAAGAAGCCAGCCCCTTCTTCCTTTTGTCTCCCGAGAAGAGATGCACCAGCCAGTTGTTGCTAAGGAACATACTCCTTCGTTTCCTTCTACTCCACGGCATGCCCTTCAAGAGCCTCCAGCCCTCTTTGTTCGTCACCGGGAACTCCTCAGGGATGGTCGCGAAAGCCTCCGGGGTCACCCCCTGCAAATAGGGCACCTTCTGGATGAAGCCACAGAAACTCGTTCGAGCCCCAGTTTCCACCAGATCCATGAGGTGCTGTTCCCAACCGCGATCTCCACAGCCCGAGAGCTCAATCTCCTTGAGCTGCCTCTCCATATCCTCCAAGGTCTTCGTGAACTCGCCAACCCGTTTTTCCTCCAATTCCTTGATGAGCTGTAGCGCGCTCACCTCGGTCAGCTCTGGGCAGAAATGGTTGACTTTCACTCGCAACTTGCCATGGATCGGGTGTCGAACTTCAAGCCTTGTCGGAGACCATCGTACCGTGCATCCAAGCAACTGCACCAACTGTCCCATAGGTAGTATCGTTCCACCACCCGAAGGGTTCGTAGAAGGCGAAGACAACAGGGTTCCACCAGCGTTCTGCGAAAGGACAACGTGATCATCATTGGCCAAGGCAACCTTCACCAACTTTCCTTGTTCCACCTCACGATCGTCAACAGCAACCCGAAAGGCATGGCTCGCTCCCGAATCCAACAGGGCCATCTTCTCCTCGGAATCCTTCTCAACCGCCTCTGGCTCAGTCTGCAGCAACCGTTCATACACATCCATTTTCACACGGAAGTCTTCATTGCCAACCCTCTCCGGAAGCACCACCAGCATTCGCAGTCGCCGCAAATCCTCCAACTGTCTCTGTATAACCCCCAAAGGATCCGAGGGCGCCGAAGAAGCCGAACCTGTGCCAGAGCCCTGAGCCTGAGTGGAAGTCAAGGCCTTCAGCATCTTGTTTGTTTCGGACAACATCGCCGCCACCTGCTCCGTGTCGATCTTGTTTGAGGTTGAAGGAGTAAGGCTTGAAGGCTGCTCACGAGTAGCATCTCCAGCCGGCACCGACGGACCTGACGAAAGCGAAGGACCTTCCGAGGAAGCTGCCCCTGTTGTAGGAGTAGCTGCTGCAGCCTGCTGTTTGGCCAACCTCGGCTTTGGGGCCGGTTTGTCAGTAGGACTCACCTTCTTCGTAGGACAATCCCTTGCCCTGTGCTTCGTCGAACCACAAAGGAGGCACCGTTCGGCTCGCTGAAGACCCTCCCACGAATGCCTGAAACTGCAGTTCTTTCCATTTCTGCAACCATCATCAGTAGTGAACCATGAACACGGCTTTGTCGGATTCGTAGGCGGTGGAGAGGCCTTGGCCTTTGGCCTCTGAGTGGTATTTCCGGCATCTGAGGGCTGTTGCTGCATGCCCTTCAGTTTGGGTCCGGGAGCCTCCGATGCCTGTGACGGTGTAGCCTTTCTCCCAGTAGCCCCAAGCTGCTCACATTCTGCAAGGAGATGTTGGAAGTACTTCAACACATTCTCCGAGGTGGGTCTGGTGTCAATCTGAAGCTCCGCCTTCGCCAAGGACACCTTAAAGCGAAAGTCTTGATTTGTCTCCGCCACCTTCTTCGTTAAGACCCCCAAAGACTTCACCTGGACGGACTCATCTGGCAAGGAAACACCAAGATCCAAAGCTCGCTGGTACAGGCGATACCATCTCCGTAATGCAACCACTGCATCCGTCGCTGTTCCTGGAGATTCACTCACCTCCAACTGTTTCAGAAGTTGTGCCCGGTCCTGAGCGCCCCCAGGCTGGTACACAGCCATCAGCCTGAACAGTATCTGATGAGTCCCCTGCACACGATAGGCCACTAGCTCATCTCGGACACCTGTCGGAAGCGCTGCTAGAAGTAAGGCTGCCACCTTTTTCGCAAGCTTCTGGTACTTGCCGTCCTGAAGCTCCTCTGATAGCCTTGCTTTCACCCCAATCTGCTTGATCGGCGAAAGCGCCTGATACTCCTGGTATGCTTCCAAGGCCGAACCCATGACTTGTTTCCACCACTCGCCAGCGCTTGCCGCCATAGCAGACACTTGTTGCTCCACAAGATACAGCCAGTCCTGGAAGTCTATGGCACCAGATTCCGGAGTGTAGTCAGGCAACATCGGAAAATTCGGCGACGCCTTATCCACATCCAACCCGTCTCCCTTCTTCAGCAACATCTGTTGCAGCTGCCCGATACCTGTAAGCACAATGTCCATCGGAGAAGGGCTTGACGGAGCTGCAGGCGCCACATCGCCTGGTTGTTGCTCGCTTCCTGGAGCAACGGGAGGACTGAGACCAGGAGGAGCTTCACAAGGCGCACCAAGGGTTGCAACTCCCTCAGGTCTCTTCAGCGGCTCATAATCTCCCCTTATCCCTAGCTCAGGCTCCAAGCGAGCCCTGAAGGCTCGGTCAAACGGCGGGACACCACAGACATCCCCTCCAGACAACCTCTCACCCACAACTCCTCTACCACCACTTGGCGACGGACTCGCTGAGGCAGATCGCTTGGCACCATAACCACGAGCATACACATTCCTTGGCCTGTTCCCAAGCTCGCCATGTCCTTCTGCACTTCTTGACCTGGCACCAGCTTCGCCCCTCTGTGCACGAGGACCATCATGGGCCCGAGACATCGACGGAACTGGTTGACGACCTTCCCGAAGAGCTCCCCGAACCCCAGAAGTCACACTTGTTGCTGCAAAGACCCGATCACCATGAGGTACACCACGATCCTCAGGAAGTGCATGAGATGCTGGGTAGGCCCGATCTCCATGAGGTACACCACGATCCTCACGAGGTGCATGAGCGAAAGAGGCCCGATCTCCATGAGGTACACCACGATCCTCACGAAGTGCATGAGATGCTGGGTAGGCCCGATCTCCATGAGGTACACCACGATCCTCACGAAGTGCATGAGATGCTGAGGAGGCCCGATCTCCATGAGGTACACCACGATCCTCACGAAGTGCATGTGTTGCGAAAGAGGCCCGATCTCCATGAGGTACGCCACGATCCTCATGAAGCACTTGAGTTGCGAAAGAGGCCCGATCTCCATGAGGTACGCCACGATCCTCATGAAGCACTTGAGTTGCGAAAGAGGCCCGATCTCCATGAGGTACGCCACGATCCTCATGAAGCACTTGAGTTGCGAAAGAGGCCCGATCTCCATGAGGTACACCACGATCCTCATGAAGCACTTGAGTTGCGAAAGAGGCCCGATCTCCATGAGGTACACCACGATCCTCATGAAGCACTTGCGATGCTGAGTAGGCCCGATCTCCATGAGGTACACCACGATCCTCATGAAGCACTTGCGATGCTGAGTAGGCCCGATCTCCATGAGGTACACCACGATCCTCAGGAAGCTCAGACTGCTCCCTCATCTGCCGCTGCGCCTCATTCCATAGAGCCCCACCCCGGCCTTGTCCTTTCACATCGCCACCACCCCCAAAAGCCATCTCCCGCAATCGCTCATTTTCTTCTTGAAGGCGCTCAAGCCTTCCCTTCTGTCCTGCCAAGGCCGCTTCCACTTGTCTTCTCACCTCCTCCTGCACCAACTCCACCGGAATGGACGCCGATGAAGCATCGTCTGTTCCCACACTCCTCGGACCATGCAGCAAAGGAGCCTGTCTTGCCCAGCCTTCCATAATACGACGAGCACTGCTGGGAAACAGAGGAGGATCCCCACTTTGTTGTCCTGTCGGAGAAAAACCACCAGACATAGTTGCCGCTGCTGCCGGGTATGTTGCATGCTGCGGTGTGGAGGGGTGCGAAGTGGTATGCTGCTGCTGCAACTGCTCATGTTGTTGAACCACTAAACCACCACTACTACCCAACACTCGTTGCCTCGTGAGCGTCGTTGTCAGCGTCTCAACCTGTCCGGAAGCTTGGCGAAGATAATCCCCGAGACGACTCATCCAGGACGGGACTGGCAAGGCAGTCCCACCCTGGGAGCCTCCCGGGTGATTATCCGTACTCGCCCGCGCGACCAAGTGCGGAATCGTTGGCCCCACATTCCCAGCAGACACGGAAGACGTTTCTTGGCGAAGCCCGGAATCACAGGAAAATGTACCAGGCGGTCCCACATCTTCTGTCCTTGAAGTCATAGCTGGTGGCCATGGAGCGCTTTCCAAACTCGCTGCACCAGGTGAGGCCTGCACCATATCCTCACGCCTTACAACATCAGCCGAAAGTACCCCATTGGGCATCGCATTTCCAGCAGGATGACGATCGTAGCGCGGACCAGCAGTCTCACCTTCCAATCTCGAATCAATGGCACGCCGAGCACCAGTTGGGCTCATAACCCCTTGGTCCTCGTGAGGACCAGGGGCGGAGGGCGCAGGAGCGGCCATCGAAAAGAGGGATCTAAGGGAAACCAGGACTACACCCAGAAAGCCCCAGCTTCAACCAAACCCTCAAGACGGAAAAAACCCTGGACGGGGACCACCGGGCTAGGGGGGGTCCGGAAGAGGCTAGACCAGCCTAAGCTAGAGGAACCACCCGGGAAACACCCCCCAAAACCCTCACACCCCAATCCAGGCACGCACTTTTTCATGCTTGAGCCAAAATCCAGTCGCAATGCTTACATATGCGGAGCTCTGCTCTCGCCTGTGCCGAAGCAATGCTTACATATGCTGAACGTCCTGCACACCTGTGCTGTAGCAATGCTTACATATGCAGAACATCCTGCACACAAAGGCATGGTGCCCTTCTCCACTTCAGCCTTCTCAGAGGCTTCCCTTATCCCAACAAATACTTAGGGGACTTAGGGGGCTTATAAGTGCAGTTCTCATTGGGGGTTATAAGTACCCCTGAACCTCCAAGTAGAGTCTAGGGGCCTGAACATCGCCCACCTTTGGTTCTTCTGAGTTGGGGGGTCGGGGGGGGGGGATTGTTTGGGTTTGGGCCTAGGCACTGCGCGTGGTGCTGTCCTGCCCTCCCACTGAACCCCTAACGCCTGCATCCCAGTAACCCTAAACCCTACACCCTAAACCCTAAACCCTAAACCCCTAAACCCTAAACCCTAAACCCTAAACCCTAAACCCTGAACCTGAGCCCTAAAGTAGATGTTAGGTTCATTGGGGTTGAGGGGCTCGTCCCTTTGCGAGCTGCAAGTTTCAGGATTTTTCTTGGCGGTCTGTCAGGCCCTCCCGTTTTTGGTCTACTCCTACCCTGTGTTGAGGGGGAACTTTTTGTTGGTCTCATGGCGGGCGAGGGGGTGAACCCCTCAACCTCCTTCTGGGTCCAAAAAATTGGTTAGAGACTACGTCGGCCCCAGGGTAGCTGCTATATCCAAGCGGGCCTTCCTTAAACCCTAAACCCTAAACCCTAAACCCTAAACCCTAAACCCTAAACCCTAAACCCTAAACCCTAAAACCCTAAACCCTAAACCCTAAACCCTCAACCCCAAACCCTCAACCCTAAACCCTAAACCCCGATCCCTAAACCCTAAACCCCAAACCCTAAACCCTAAACCCGAAACCCCAATCCCTAAACCCTAAACCCTAAACCCTAAAGCCTAAACCCTAAACCTTAAGCCCAAATAGAATCGCTGAGCAGGTACGGCAGCCAACCGTCCCGCAGGCCCAGGCGGCGAGGCCTGCACCAGACCAGGGTTTAGGGTTTAGGGTTTAGGGTTTAGGGTTTAGGGTTTAGGGTGTAGGGTTTAGGGTTTAGGGTTTAGGGTTTAGGGTTTAGGGGGTTTAGGGTTTGGGGTGTTTCGGGTTTCAGGGTCTTAGGGCCTTAGGGTTTAGGGCCTTAGAATCTAGGGTTTAGGGTAACCCTACCAAAGACCTCGCACTGCACGAGGACGACTAGGTCTACACCCCGCGCCCTGAAAAAGAGCCTCAAGCCTTAAACCCTCAAGCCCTAAGCCCTAAACCCTGCCGAACCTCGCTGCGCCCCAAGAGAAGCACAGGTTTTGGGGCTTAAGGTGAGGGCTTAGCTCGGATCCCCAGTGGTGGCCCTTTCTTCTTGTGTTGGGATGCCCATCATAAACACACCATAAGCCCCTAGATCCCATCAAGCAAAAACGGGGGTTTCTCCGAAGGTTTCGCTTTGTCTTCTGTGTCTTCCCGGATGTTTTTCCCAAAGCCCGAAACCCTGAAGCCTGAAGTCTGAAGCCGAAAGCCTGAAGCCTAAACCCTAAACCCTAAACCCTAAACCCTAAACCCCAAACCCTAAACCCTAAACCCTAAACCCTCAACCCCAAACCCCAAACCCTAAACCCTAAACCTTTGGGGGTTGACAGGGTTCGGGCCGCCGTGTAGGCCAACGCCGCCAGCGTTGACCTCCCCTGCTGTGGAGGCCTTGCAGCTCTCCCTTCGCTGGTGCCCTCCACCCTAAACCACGAAACCTTGGGGGATGTTCCCCCTTATGCTTATACCAACAGTCTTTAGTAGGGATGATCGTGCCCCCTATTCTAGTCCCTACTAAGGACTCTTAGTATATAAGTCGGAACATCCCAAACGAAACCCATAAACCCTAAGCCTACACCACCAAGTGACCTTTCTTCCTCCACCACATGTTGATCAGAGGTTTGAGGAGGATGGGAGGTTTAAGGTCGAGGCAAAGGTTTGCGGGAAACCCTATGCGCCCTGTAACACCCCTACAAGCCCTAGTATAACACCATATATGTACTCCTAAGCCCGTGATCTCTGCATGCCCTGCAAACCCAATGCACCCCATGAACCGCGTAAAGCTCGCAAACCCTAGAAAGCCCGTAAAAACCTATAGAAGCCCCCTAAAACCCTAAACCCTAAACCCTAAACCCTAAACCCTAACCCCTAAACCCTAAACCCAAAACCCTAAAACCCTAAACCCCAAACCCTAAACCCTAAACCCTAAACATCCCGATTCCCTTAAATGCCCAGAATTAAGCCCCCAGAAAAAGAAGCCGCATCGGCAAGGGGGTTCAGGGCTTAGGGGTTCCGGGCTCAGAGGTTAAGGCTTATCCTGTGCTTTGCTTTCTGGTTTTTTTCGTGTGTGGAGCTAGGGTTTAGGGTTTCGGGTTAAGCCCTCAGCCCTCACTGCTTACGCTGTCTCAGTAGGAAACTTTTGGGGAGGTGTGGCGTTCACGGTTCTCATTTGGGAATTGGAGGAATTGGGTACCCTGTGCATTCCACCCCATAGGCTGAAACACAGTTGGGGTTTCCATAAGTTCCCCTACTAACCCCCCCGCCCCCCCCAGACTACGCCCCCTAAGTTTCCCCCAACCTCAATTAGCCTTAATGATCCCTAAGTGGCCCTAATTAGGGGGGAACCTAGGGGGCGTAGTATAGACGGGGGGGTAGTGAGGGAACCCATGCGTTTAGGCCTTCGGGCGTTGGTCTTTAGGCTTTGGGGCTTTCGGTTTTGTTTTTTAGGTTTTTTGGGGGTCATGGTGGAGCCCAGGGGTTTAGGGTTTACGGTTTAGGGTTTAGTTTAGGGTTTAGGGTTTAGGGTTTAGGGTTTAGGGTTTAGGATTTAGGGTTTAGGGTTTAGGGTTAAGGGCTTAGGGGTAAAAGCCCGCACATTGCGACCCGCGGCCCTGGCTGCAAGGTTGCGGGGAGTGTGGCGGGCGCGGCGTCCGCGGCTGCTACCCCCCAGGCCGCCTCGCTGACGCCCTCCAAGGCTTGGGGGGGTCGGGGTACCCTAAACCCCTAAACCCCTCAACCCCTAAACCCTAAACCCTAAACCCTAAACCCTAAACCCTAAACCCTAAAGCCTAAAGCCTAAACCCTAAACCCTAAACCCCAAACCCTAAACCCTCTTGGGTTTCAGAAGAGGAATTCTTTTCAGGGGGTTTGAAGGGCCATCCTAGAACCCTGGCAAGGCCTCCGTTCGCTCGGAGCGGCCGGGATCCGATGCCGGCTCCCTGAAGGAGGGGAGTTTCGGTTTCAAGGCTTCAGGGTAAGGAGACTTGGGGTAAAGGGTTTAGGGCTTAGTGCTTAGGGTTTAGGGTTTTGGAGACTTGGGGTTTCGGGTTTAGGGTTTGGGGTCTAGGGTTAGGAGACTTGGGGTTTAGGGGTTACATTTTAGGGTTTAGGGTTTAGGGTTAGGAGGCTTGGGGTTCAGGGGTTAGGGTTTAGGGCTTAGGGCTTAGGGTTCAGGGTTTAGGGGTTTTTGGTTTAGGAGACTTGGGGTTGAGGGCTTGAAGGCTTATCAGATGTTATAAGTATGATAAGGGTTGAGGCTTGAGGACTTCTGGTTTTGGGGGGTTTGGGAGTTTTGGAGGTCTCTTTGTTGGTATTTCATTGTGTATATATATATATCTATAAATATAGATATCTTATGTAGATATGTATATATGTCATCATGTTGTCAGATGCACATGAACCGCAAGCCCCAACATCCTAAAGCCCCATACAAACCTAAGACCCTCTACAAAAGCCTCAAGCCGCGCCCCCCCCCTCTCCCACCCCCAAAGCCCCAAGCCCAGGCCTTGAAACTCGAAACCCTAAACCCTAAACCCTAAACCCTAAACCCTAAACCCTAAACCCTAAACCCTAAACCCGAAACCCTAAACCCTAAACCCTAAACCCTACACCCTAAACCCTAAACACCCCAAACCCTAACCTAACCCTCAACCCGGAGGCCGCCGTGGGGCCAGAAGTGAGCGCAGTGGAGGCTCGACCGGCTTTGTGCTTGAGGCCCAAATCTAAACCCTAAGCCCTAAACCCTAAGCCCTAAACCCTAAACCCTAGGCCCTAAACCCCAAACCCCAAACCCCAAACCCCAAACCCCAAACCCCAAACCCCAAACCCCAAACCCCAAAACCCTAAACCCTAAACCCTAAACCCTGAGGATTGCTATCCTCCCTGGTACTTCGGGGCGGCTTCTTGGGGTCCAGGCCTGCCCCATCGGCCCGAACCTCCCTAAATCCTAAACACTAAACCCGAAAGCCTAAACCCTAAACCCGAAACCTAAACTCCAACCCCTAAGCCCTTAGCCCTTAAACCCTAAACCCTAAACCCTAATTAAACCCTAAACCCTAAACCCGAAACCCTAAACCCTAAACCCTAACCCCTAACCCAAAGCTAGGCCGCCGCCCAGCAGAGGCGTCTCTCTGAGGCACCGCAGCTCGTGGTCTTTTTTAAAAGGGTTTAGGGTTTAGGGCTCAGGGTTTAGGGTTTAGGGTTTAGGGTTTAGGGTTGAGGGGGATTTGGGGGTTTAGGGTTTGTAGGGTTTGTAGGGTTTCGGAACTGCGGCTTCGTGAAGTGTAGTTTTGCGGTAGCCCATCAGACACCGTAGGTGGTCTTCGAAGCTTCGTGCTCGATGATGCATGGATGGTTTTCCCCAGTGCCGGTGCCCCGAAGCTACCCAAGTGTAGCAGTGATCGCGGTGACCTACGTGCCCCAAGTGACCCCAAGAG